TTCAAACCGGAAACCGTAGCAAAACGGTGCACACCGGTTTGAGCTTGAACGTGCCCCAGTCCTCAATGTCACATGATTTTTCAGAAGTAGCCTAATTCTAATATATTGATTTGGTGCTACATTTTAGAAACTGTGACACATTTTAGAATTATTTGCTTAATAGAATGTTCGAGAGAACAGCATTTATTTTAAATGTAAATCTTTTATAACATTGTGTCTTTTTTAATGCTCACTTGCTAAATTATACTATTAATTTATTTATTTCATAAATAATTGTTTTACACCTTAAGGGTCTTTAATCATTATTTTAAATAAAAGTTAAGGATTTTAATAAAGGTTCTAAAGATGTCAAACAATACACGTAACTTACTGATTGCCGCCAGCGCGATGACAGCGCCATAGTTCCCTCGATCAGATGATGTGACTTGATCCCTCATCTCTCGTGAACGTCTACAAAATAAAGAATAAACCTGGGATGTCACATTATATCCTCTCTGTGCAGAATGCTATATATAGGGCTTAAGCAACTTAACAGCTTAGTACCTGCTATAGGCCTCCGCTTCGCCAAATGGCTGATTATGCGCGCCTCATAAACATTTAGAACAGCTGATTTCTCCATGATATGAAACGACGTTTATCTCAGAATCACAGTAAGAAAATAAGTTTCTCGCATGAATATTAGTGGTAAGATGGTAGATTTATTAATATTCAGAGTTAAGAGTACAACAGGCCTTATGAAAATGGGAATGTTGACACAAATAATGCACCACATTCGTCGCATGAACAAGACAATGGGTACGAACGAATGCACACGCACTTTGTAACTGTAAAGAATTGGTTTACTAGTATTATTATTTTTATTTCAACCAAGTTATCGTTACGATTCCGATTCTTTGTTCTTTTCTTTTTTTTTATCGCATAGCCTACTAAAATCAGCAGTGATCTGTTGCATAATGATTTCGACATAACATATATTACAGATCAGAAATAAATTTAATATAAAAAAAAAAACGATTTTGCAGAAGGTGTTTATTTTGTAATGGGGTTTCACAGTTTTTAGAGGCGACATAAGTGCAATACAATAATTAATTATTTTTATTTAACTATAAATTAAGTAAAATATTAAACAAACAAAAATATGAAGACCATGAAGAACCATTCAGTACTGATTTAAGTCCCACGAGCCTTAGGTACAACATTGGTGAAGTCGATAACCGCTCCTTCTGACTCCTCCTAATGATTTTGAGTCACTAAAAAGAATCGGTTCAGAAGAGTCATTTATTCGGTACTCGTAGTACACTGGTTGAGATGTTTGTTTTCGATTCATTAAAAATAACCTATTCATAAGAGTCGTTTGTTGAGGAATCGGACCTCAGTGTTCGTGTCTAATGTTTCGTGCACATTATATATATTTCGTGCACAGTATATATTCAGTAGCGGCTTTGCAGTGAATCTCTGAACAGTAGTGCAGTTAACACAGTCATTCTTGAGAAGTGGGACAAAACAGGGTGCAAAATTGAAAAAATAAAACCTTGTACTCAGACAAATTAAACTACATTTATGTATCTTATATGTACTAAGCTACTGAGCTATGCTTTGATACAACCTCCCAACTTTTCTCTTTTTTAACAAAATGTGCTTTTTTTTAGCTTGGACTGTGTAATATAATTTCAGCTTTATCTTTAACAGCATTCAAAAAGTGGGGACGCAACTTTAAAATCTTATTAAACATGCATGTGTCATTAAAAAACAACCTTGCTTTGATAGGAGATATTAAGTGTTGCTTTTGATAAAACAAGCTCTTTTTCATCATTAAAAAAAAACATTTTTATCCATTTTATTGCATATGAATGCTTGAACCCTTCTCTGTGGACACACTGTTTTAGATGTAGTGAGAGGACATTAAGAAACACAGATTTGTGTAGTATAATAGTATAATATAGATAGTATAATAATGAGAAAATTAAATTGAAGGTGATAATTGTGTTAAATACATTCTATTATTAATCCCTCATGACATTTAAAATTGAAAATATTTTTATTTTTAAACCTAATAGCAGTTACCCTTGCTGGACCTGTTTTGTCCCATGTCTCAAGAATGACTGCACATGTGATGTTCCATTCACATTGGTGGAAGACCGCACGTTCGAGAACCGTTAAGTTAATAGAATGTCCTAAAAATCATTCGGTTCCAGTATGTCCGAAAAAAGTACGTTTTTTTGTTTCCTAACCTACTTATCAGTGCTTTGTGCATGTATTTATTGTGTATTGGGGTGTATTTATTATTATTTTTGGCCAATATTTTTATATAGGAGATGTTTTCAGTAATCAAGAATTGATCATCAAGAATTGTGTTCAAAAAAGACCAGTCTATAATGGTCTTGACACCTTATCCACAAAACACCTGCAAAATGCCAACACTAGCTGCTTTCCACTATTAATCCAGCATTTGGTTAAACAATGTAAAATGTTGTCGTTTCAAGGAAGGAAGCCATTTTCTTCTTCCAGTAACCACTCCTCCTTATTTCAGAGATTACAGCCAATCAGAGGTCAGAATCCAAAACAGGAAGTGGCGTTTTGAGCGCATCAACCAATCGCTGCCGCAGAAAGAGCAGAACCTCTGCCATTTAGCGCACTTATTCGTCTCGTCTGTGACGTACCGGCAGGCTTTGTGTTCTTTCAATATATCACATTGAACATATTTCCATATAGACTATAATCCGGTAAGTGTTATTTATAAATTCAACCATATTCGTTGTATTCGCGCTTTAATTCACGCATTAGATGATCGTCGTTTATTATGTGCGCAGAGGACAGTGTGCGGAGTGCGGAGTGCGCACTTAGTAGGCGCCGTGCGAGGGGGTTGCTGCCTAATTTGTGACCGAGTATTTGTAATAAACATCGCGCTGGCTCTTGTTCCGACCCACTTTGGATTTTCATCTTTAGTTATTGTTATTGTGCACATATCTAAGGGTTGTGCTTTCGTTTAGGTAAAATCTTCCAGTCTCACGCATTGGATGTAATGGCACAGGAACTACTTTTCTCTTTGCCCCTTTCAGTTGGATGAAACCACATTGCGCGTACTTACACAATATATTGACGGCTTTTCTGAAGTGATACGGTGGCGCACTGAATATCAAACCCATTTTAATGCAGCATATATTTTATAATTTTTTACAAATGTATATAAAAACTAAATGTGGTTTACTCACTCGTTGATTTATCTATGTAATTTGCAGGATGAGGTGGTTTTGTAAACGCCAGCCTTGACGTTGAAACCGGTTCGAGCTGAATGCTGTCAGAGCCCGGTGAATATTGTGAGGGTCTTCATTTCAAACGTTCATTCACCTGTCCAATATAAAACTAAATCCTACAATTTCCCAACTTATTATTACTATTATTATTATTTTAAATAATACACTAAATGCCATTGTATTTTTTCACGTTGATTGTAAAGGCATGTCTACTGTTTCACATGTTCACTGCTCAAATGTTTAGCTCAAACATTTTATATTTCAGAAACATGGATGCGGATTTGTTTATGGAGTGTGAGGAAGAGGAGCTGGAACCATGGCAACAGCAACATTCAATGGATGATTCAGTGGGGAATTCTGAAAGCAGTACTCCCACTGGTGTGTAATGTTATAGGTTTTACTGTAACATTTAATTTGTTAAATGTATGTTTATTTATACATATGAAGATACTTAATGTAACTAAGAAACATTTTCTTTTAATAATTATTCTTTATTTTAATATCATTATACTGAATAAAACCTGTTCTTCTCCACTGTTTAGTGTCTTCCACTCCCGCCACACCGGTTGATATTCCAGCCGAGTCTAAAACTGTGGTGATCCCAAACTTACCACCTGTAGTAAATACAGCAAACACGGTTCCGCTGATCACAAACACATGTAAGTATTTGTTCCTTATAGCACTGTTGTGTGATTATCAGTTCTTTTGCCTATTTGTGACCCTGGACCACTAAATCAGTCACAAGTAGCACAGGTATATTTGTAGCAATAGCCAAAAATACTTTGTATGGGTCAAAATGATAGATTTTTCTTTTATGCCAAAAATCATTAGGATATTAAGTAAAGATCATGTTCCATGAAGATATTTTGTAAATTTCCTACCATAAATATATCAAAACTTCAGTTTTGATTAGTAATATGCATTGCTAAGGACTTTATTTGGACAACTTTAAAGGCGATTTTCTCAATATTTTTATTTTTTATTTACATTTATTTTTGCACCCTCAGATTCCAGATATTCAAATAGTTGTATCTCGGCCAAATATTGTCCTGTCCTAACAAACCATACATCAATGGAAAGCTTATTTAGTCTTTCAGATTATTCATAAATCTCAAATTCGAAAAATTGACACTTAAGACTGGTTTTGTGGTCCAGGGTCACATTTAAGGAATATTCTGTGATTTATTTACTCATCCTCATGTTGTTCCGATGACATCCTCCATTTGTTGAACACAAACAAATGAGAAATAATATCTTGGCTGCTCTTTTTCATTTAATGAAAGTGAATTAGGACTGGTGCTGTCAAGCTCTAAAATGACAAAAACATATAAAAATATCAAATAGTTCATGAATTGTGTGCTATAAATTTAAAGTGTTTTGAAGTCATATGCTTTGTGTAAGGGACAGACTGAAATTCGACTCGCTATTCACTCATAATCCACGTTGAAACTCCGAAAGGGAGCACCAAAAGTACTATCAACTGTAAAAATGGTACATCAGTGCCAACGCCACCATCTTGATGACAGCATTTTAAATAGTTTCTGCACTATTCCTTTAATCTGTCATTTATTCTTTCAGTGACTCAACGCGTAGTTCCTGCTGCTGTTCCGGCGGATATTCCTAAAGCAGTGCAAGGGCAGCAGGTCATCTTGGCACCAGGAGGAGGAGGGCTTGGCACTGTGACTCTGTCACAGGTTCTCCTGCCTGGCACAACTATTGCCAATGCCCCCAACAGCCAGCCGTTTTACTTTACCACACAGGTGCTGCCATCCCACCTAATTTCCCTGCTCATGGTCAATCTCAACTTTCTTCTATTAATCAAAGTGCTTCCTATTGTGTATGATTCAGGGTCTTCCTGTCCAGAATATCAATCCTCTCCAGCCTGGCCAGAGCCCAATGAGTTTGGTGCTGAATGTCCAACAAGGCCAGACTGTTCGACCCATTACACTAGTCCAAGGTATGTTAAAGGCACAATATGTACGATTTTTTTATTAAAATATCCAAAAACCACTTGAACAGTGTTATATATTTTGCTGACTTGTGTACTTACATTATCCCAAATGTTTCGAAGAATGTTTAAATCCAGAGAAATAAGCTATTTTAACTAGTGACACGGACCGTGTCCATAGTGTCATTGTGTCGCCTGCCAATGACGTCATAACCCCTCGATTTCCGGTTTTGTGTTGTAGAAAACATGGAAACACCAAAGACGCGTTAATATGTTGTGTGTTTTAATAGACTGGTG